AACAGGTAAAAAACTTTTATTTGCTATACGTTGATTTATTTATAGATGGTGGGTAAGTTTAAAATTCATGAGAAAAGGGTCGTTTTCCATTGCAAGATAAGTTAGTAAATTAGTTCTCTTTTGTATCCATAATTAATTCTGGGTTTGTATTGATTAGACTATAAATTAGCGCGTATTTTCTACACTTTTAGATAATTTCTTCTGTATACAAGTTTATTTTGTTTTACATCTGTATGTTTCTTAAAATTGAAGCCGTTTATTAATGCTACTATCAATGAAAGCTAAATTTCAAGATGTTTACTCATTTTAAATAGCCCTCCAATAATACTCTTAGTCGTTTAGTTAGGTAGGTATTTCTTGTAAGTAGGTTCTTTTGCCTTTAACATAAAGAAGCCGCTTTAAGCTCAAGAAATTCCAAGAAGTTTGTTGTAGATGTATGTTTTTAGTACGGTTCTGTATGGGTGCAAAACGTGGACGACAGTGAGGTCGCGAAAATAAAAAGGTCAAAAGCGTTTAAAAGAGTAGAGTAACAAACGGATGCCAATATGAAATAGGAGAAATAGGATGGATAGGACCCCTTCTCAGACATTAAAGGCTAATATGAGACATATTAGAAGCAGAAACAGGAGTTAAGAGCCGCGCACGTGAACCTAAATTAGACTACTGCTCACAAATGGTTAGGGATCTGGGATATTCTGGTTTTAGGGAAGTGCGAAGATTGACCCAGGACAGTGTGAAGGTACACCTCTAACCAGTCTTAGGACTAAAAACTCTATAATGATAATGATCTTATTCCTTATATTTATTAGTTGAAGCCCACTAAACATGCAGCAATTACAGAAAGAGGTGGAAGGAAAAACTTCTAGTGCTCGCAAAACCTTAAAAACAACCGACCCCGCCAATTCTTCTACATACAATGCCGAGCTTGGTTGTAGTCCTAACTGTAGCCTGCACGAATGGATCCCAGCTTACTTTTTGCGCTCTACCGTTGAAATTTAGTACCATTGTTCATTACTCATCACACCCTACCGTTTAATATGAGAAATGTTGCTACAATCGGGATCCCCGCGGCGCCTCAAACACCCCAACATGTCATTACAGGGGCCGTAGGGATTTCTACCGTGACAACATTTCTTGTAGAAAGAGAAGGGTCTAATGAACAAGTGCACGAAATGTCAATGCGTGGACATAAAATGCAAGGTGGATTTTCTTAATCTTTGGAGACGTACACATACTTCGCACAAGACGGTCGAAAGAGGGGAGTGCCTTCAGGCCTGGGCTTATTTATGTAGTTTCGAATTCGGCTGGTGGAAATGACACTTCTCATTCTAGAGTTACATTTACTAAGAAACATTAATCTAACTTAAAACCTATGTCTGATCTGCACTCAAAAAATTATGGGTCAAGAAGGTACATGAAAGCAAAATAGAATGAGCCATATCGCACCACTTAGTGATATACATCTATATAAGGGTAATGATTTTACCATATACGCATATTCTGCTTGCAAATACATTATTTTTTATTTGATATTTCTACACTCAACTTATTTTGTGGTAATAACAGTAAAATTGCCAATCGAATAGTGACTACGGAGTGCACAGGCTACTGCTAATCGTCACACGTGCAAATGACCTGTCTGTGTACCAGCTGTTGCGATGGTCACGAGTAGGTATGAGTGTTTCATCACTTGACGCTTACAATAACGACGAGTGATAAGATAATGCGCCTGCCAAACTGGCAACTGTTTTCAATCACACTTTTTGTGCATACCCTTTTCACCCCTACGTTATGGGGCTGTTACGAGATGCACTCTACACCGTGTAAAAGTTTTACCTTACATATATTCCGGAATACTAATTAGACATAGTGTATATACTGTTTACAAGTTCTTATAAGAAAAAAATCTTATTGTTAATATACTGTATATTTGAAAGCGGTAATGATAGCAATTATTTTAAGTATCTTGTATATGATTTCTACAATAATATCGACATAAAAATATTGATTACACGTAGTTTGAGCGTATTTCTAATATCTTATTTATTGCTGTTGCCTATTTAGCAAAACTTATGACAGAATTGTAATCTACCTTTTCTTGCTCTTGGTGTTGGTCTTTCGGAAATGTACTTGGTCTTGGACTTGCGAAAATTTACGACTAAGGCCAAGACTGCTTTTATGCTAGCCAGACCAAAACCAAGACCGAATGAACAAGACCAACACTAAAACAAAGGTCGAACGAACAAGACCAAGACTAAATCCAATACTGAACAAACAAGACAAAGACTAGACGAAAAATTATTACTTCCGGTGGATTTATGAGTTAAAACATCTTAGGCAACATTTTGTTTTTTTCTTGGAACAAAACATTTTTGTTATTTAAAATTTTCAGTTTGCTTAACTAGATTTTAACACTGAATATAAAACAAAGAAACTTTGCTACTGTTTGAAAAAATGAATCTGCAAGAATGTTCTCGGGGTAAATGTTGTTTGTTCCTATGTCTGAGTAATACATAGTTGAGAAAAACTAATTTTCTTTTGATATTTTTCACTTCTTTCAAGTACCTTGTATTATTTTGTTCGCTGAAAGGTATATTTATGCGTTGGAGGAAGTGTAATTTCTCGAGTTTTCGTATATCTAATAACAATTACGACTATTTTCTTTAAGAGCCATGACGAGCTCGCATGTATTACAGTAAATTTTAACATTTAAGGCAATTACTGTGCCGGCAAATAGAAAAACTTCTGATCACAAGAATTATTTGAAGAAACCTATTATATTAAATGAGCAAAACCAAGATTTACCACTAAAGACCAAGGCCAACTCCGAGTCTATATCAACAAGGTCAAGACCAAGACCTAGATCGAGACTGTATCAGCAAAACTAAGACCAAGATTAGAGGTATATGAACAAGATCGATATCAAGACCGAATAAGACCAATGCCAAAACAGGGACAGTCTTGATCTTGATTTGGCTTTGCACATCACTACTTCTTCATACTATTGGGATCTTTTAAAGGTACCATCGTGTTCAGCACGTGATTCTTTATGGACAAAGATCGACACTTTTTAACATTACTTTTTGTGTTGTATACATTGGCATTGAACTTTAAAACCTACATTGAAAAAACCTCTTAACTAAAACGGTGTTGATGTTTCAATATTAAATCGTTTACAACCCTAATAAATTTAGATTTGTTTTTTTAAATAAAACGTAGATATTAATTTAATTCGAAAGCAATAAGCTCTTTTAACAATTGTACAATTTAAGACACTGGAGGTGGGTAGATGATATTTAATTTCAGATTCAGCAGTAACGTTGTAAACGTTTTTTATAAGTGTTTATTTAAAAATAAAACAACGTTCGCGTTTATTTTATTTTGAAGGACTTACTCTTATTTTGCTTTTCAAAACGTTTTTTAGTTGTAGATTTAAAAATTTTATAGAATCTATGTATTGTCGACCTCTCTCGGTGAATATTTTCTGGCAATTAACGTCTAATGAAGGATGAATACCCTAAGAAGCTGTTTAATTGCCTTTTGAATAATGTAGATTTTGTAATAGAAACTTCAGGGAAACTGGGAATGCCTGATGAAGTGAAAGTTACCGTTTGCTAAGAACCCAAACCAACTTCTGACGAGGAAATGACATTTCAAATACATATATATGTATATAGTTTCAAGTTTGTACCTATTGTTTCTCGATTTCCGTCGTTTATAGACAAGTAGAAAGGAAGTTAAATGCTGTTAAAATAGAATAGAAACAAAAGATAAATTTTATAATAGATATTGAAAAACTATTTTAATATTAGTGTAGCTGATATCCGGACTAATTTACAATCTGAATTATAATCTGCAAAAAAAGGGCGAGTGTGCAAGCCTAAGAAGTGAAACTTCTTTATATAGTTGAAAACATATTATAGTAGTATTTTGAAAAACAATTAGCTTATACTATTGCGTTAACTAATTACTAAACACCAGAAAAATACAACTTTATTTCAAGCAGACGAATGCGGAATATTGGTTTAGTTTCGTTAAAAATTTTTACGCTTGCACCCTACAAAACTGCTGACGAAGAGGAATTACAAATCAAAACAAACACACACGCGTATGTTATACATATACACAGGGGCGCAACAAGAGGGGGTCCACGGGTGCCCAGGCACCCACTAAATTGGGTTGGGCACCCACTCGATTGGGTTGGGCACCCACTCGATTGGGTTGGGCACCCAGTCAATTTTAGTCGATCCAGATAATAACCCAACTTAAAAGTTCGGTTCAAACAGTTCAAACCCGTAAATAAGTAACCGAAATTAACTTTTCTTTTTTTAGTCGTTTATGGTATTATGATGAGAGCAGCCGAACTCGATTTTTCGATATTTCCAATCTTCTTTTTAGGCATTTTATTGGTGAGTACCCAGTCAAAGTAAGTAACGTTGTTGCGCCCCTGCATATACAGTAGGTACAGCGTGAGCGCGATTTGCTGACAATTTATCGAAATGGCAATTTTCGGATTATCGATTGCTACTACAGGTTAGCTTTAGAAGCCTATTACAATGACTCCTTTGGACATATCCACTAGGACTCAAATGTGGCGCATGACGAGTGATGAGTGATGCTGTGACGTTACATTTTTTGGTTTTATACTTTAGTAAATTTCCTTCCTACCGTATATATGAAGTTTCACATCAACTACTTTAGTGCTGCTGTAGAAACTGAAATGTGCGTGAGTATCACGAGCTGGTTAACGACTCCTCACATTTTGTGATGGTGGAAAAAAACTTGTCTTCTGACAAACATACCTACACAATTTAATTAGTTCAATTCAAAAGAAGGTAACTGCAGAACCACGCTGGAATGAATCAAATAAAGGAAAATATACATAAGTTTGATCAGTACCCAAGAAAAATCAAGGGATTAGAAAGTACAAGAAAAGAAAGTAGAATGAGTCATCTCGCACCATTCAGTGATATATATAAAGCTAAGGGTAGTGACCTTACCGAAAACCCTAACTGCTCTGGCAGTGATGACGATGACGCGTATTCGCGTAATAGCTCCGGTGTTTTCCCACTGCACCGTCGATATGAGACCACCATATCCGCACATCCTGCATGCGACTGTTTTGATTGATATTTTGTGGTAATGCTTTGCCAAGCGAACGCTAACGAGTGCATATTATTACTAATCATTACTTACAATTGACTTGTCTACGAATCAGCTATTTGCGAAAATTAAGATTAAGGTATGTGTTTCATTGAAAGCCGATAAGATAACGCAGTAACTATTCTCAATCATTAACGGCTCGTTAAGTGGGGTACTTTTTGTGCATACTTTTTACATCCCCTACGTTTTGGTACTATGATGAGATACACTCTACAGTGCCTTCAGATGTTACTCTTTAAATATTCCGAAATACTGATCAGACAGATCAGTGCATGACAACCATAAAATGGGCTCTTATACGCTTTTACAAATTAAAATCCACTCCTTTTTGGTTTTCAAAATATATTTCTGATTTATTAAAATTTTGAATACACGGTCAGAAGAACAACCTGATAAAAAAGGTATAGATCCAACCTTAATCCGTTATATCTGTTTATATTCAAATTTTTGATCTTACTGGATACAGACATCGACAGTTACATCTGCCTAGATCCAATCATGTATAAGCAGATATAGAGATGTATAAATCCTTTATATCAAAGAATATATATACATATGGAAGCATATGCAGTCACATCTGCTCAGATGTAAAAAGTAATGGTTCAGGAGATAAAACTGCCAAGAATTGGCCGCCCTTCTTCATGCCTACCTGGAATTACAGTATTATAGCATTATTTAAACGAAACACGTTTTGTATTCTATGCATCTGTGTCTAATATAAACATCAAAACAGCTCGGGCATTTTTATAAGGATATTTTCAAGTCATCATCAAAAGGTCGTCAGTCCTAAGACTGGTTGATCACGCACCTCTACTCCTTCCTATCCTGAACTAATCTTTTTAAATTTCCTTACATCTAAAACATCCCACATCCTTAACTATTTGCCAACAGTAATCTAATCTAGGTCTATCTTTATTCCTCTTAACTTATGCTTCTGCCTCCAACATGTCTCTGATTAGACCTTCGTACCTGAGAAGGTGTATTACCAACCTATTTCGCTTATTTTTTATTGACTTCCATAGAGTCCTTTGTTCTCCTCTTCTTTCTAATACCTCTTCGTTTCTAACCTTCTCCATCTACGGTATCCTCATCATTCACTGGTAACATCACATTTCGAACGCTTCTAACCTCTTCTATTCCACAGCGCTCACCGCCCATGTTTCGCATCACCGCTCTCCAAACATACACCTTTAACAATCTTTTTTGAATTTTTAAATTAATTCTTTTTATTGAAATCGACGACTTTTCGTAATCCTCTGCTTTATATAAGGAGTAGTCTTCCGTCTTGACTTATCTGACTTCATAGATACCTAAGATCAGTCACTTCTTCTAATTTTTCGTTTCCTATCTTTATTTTATATTTTTTCTTTTCTTTATATTCGCTCTTTCCCTACCTTTTATTCCCTTGTATACTAGTATTTTTGTTTTTCTTTATTTTTGTTTTCAAACAATACTATTTTGTCAATACCGCTTCCATTTTATTTAAATATATTTCTAACTCCTCCTTGCTAGATTCTAATACTGCTATATCATCTGCAAATCTAAGTACACTAATCTTTTGCTCCTGTATATCTATCCCTACAGTTGTACTGTTTTTAATAATGTTGATTGCGTTTTATTTTTCAAGTATTGAGGAATATATCCAGTAGCCCACAAATTTAACAAAAAGAATAGATGATCGTATGCCTAATATTTAAGCCGAAATACGTTAATTTACTGTACATTTTAAGTAAACAGTTGCAAGTATTACAAGTAATTACCGGAATAATCTGTGCGTAAGTAAGGACCATTCATAGATACAAGAAAACGAAGATAAGAAATCAAAAAAAGACGAAAAGGCCACTGACGACTATTATTATGAAATTTCGTATGATCGTTCTTATATTGTAGTAGATACATGTATTTATTTACTAATTAAGGAGATGTTACCTACAAGTAATTGNCAATTCAAGTCATTAATAATTGAAAACAAAATTATTTTTGGCAACAATGTGATAAACACTTGTTGAAAGACAATATATAAATGTATAATATTACTTTCAGGAGATATATGTATATTAATGAAATAGGACCTGTTTTAATCGACGTAAACGACAATTCATCAAGCAATTCTTCCGACAGAAATTAAAACAAAAACGGCTCTTTTGAGAGCCACAATTTTATTCAAAATCGGTTTATGGATAATAAATGCATTATCCAATTACATTTTATCAAATTAATAGAATATTTTTTCCTGTTCTTTTAGTTTCATATTTATAAATCTGCACGTCATTGGAATACCAATGTTTTCTTATATGGAATCCTACACAGGAGGTTCATTAACACATTTTATAGCAGACTCACTAAGGACAATTGAAGATTAAAATTGTTACTACATAAAGTTTGGACCGCCCTTTTGTTTGGTACAAATTCGGCAAAATAGGCTTATAGATCTTTTAGAGGTTTTATTGCCCGATCCGTCACTCTATGTGGCACGCTCATCGGATACGGACTTTAACATTTTTTTGAAAGCTTCAACTTTTCCTGTGATATAAAAGAAATGAATAACATTTTATCCAAAAATTTTCTTCATGAAAGTATTTTATCAAATTTTAAATAAATACTAGAAATTATACTGATAGCAATAATAATAATAGCAACAATAATGAAATAAGCAAATTGTGTCCCAAAACATATATCAAAAGATGTGAGTGAGGTTCTTTGACGTCACCCCGTCTTCACTTGCTCAAAGTTAATTAGTGAAAACTGAGAAGACCGAAGGATAATAATGAAAATAATTTTGTGTATAATGAGTAGATTGATCCTCATTTTCTAAACTAAAATTTTGTGGGAATTTCAAATTATGTAAATATTATTTTTGTCGACTCCGAAAAGCACCTTGTAATATTTCACGTCAAATATAAATAGTTTGTAATATCGACGTCGAGAACTATGGATGACGAGGTGCAATATTTCACGAGTCGGAGCGTGGAATGTTAGAACAATGAGGCAAGTAGGAAAATTAGACAATTTAAAAGTAGAGATGGATAGTTTAGAATTAGATATAGTAGGTATTAGAGAAGTCCGTTGGCCCGAAGCTGAAGACTTCTGGAGTGGGGACTTTAGAGTAATACATACAGGATCGGTAGAAGGTAATTCGGGGGTAGGAATTGTAATGCGTAGGAAAGTAGGGCAGGGTGTAGAAAGTTATTTACAAAAAAGCGATAGGATACTTATGGTTACATTAAACTCAAAGCCGGTAAGAACGGTATTACTGCAGGTCTACATGCCTACATCATCTTACAGTGATGAAGACGTAAAAGCAGTTTATGCAGATACAGAAGATGTGTTAAGCTTAGTAAAAGGACAGGAAAACTTAATAGTTCTAGGATATTTCAACGCAGTAATAGGTGAAGGTAAAGTGGGTACAATAGCAGGTTCTTTTGGATTAGGCAATAGAAATGATAGGGGAGATAGGCTGATAGAATTTTGCGATAAACATAACTTAACCGTCGCGAATACTTTATTAGCAGGCGCTACACGTGGAAGATGCCAGGTGATTTAGGGAGATATCAGTTAGATTACATACTTGATAGGCAAAGATTTAAAAATCAAGTGAAGGACTGTAGGAGTTATCCAGGAGCAGATATAGATAGCGATCATAACTTAGTAGTCATGAAGACCAACCTTAAATTGAAAATTTTGAAAATGAGGGAAGGTAGGAGACGTCTTGACTTAGAAAAGCTAAAATGTAACGAAACGCGTGATAGGTTAGGTAAAAGAACTTAAACAAAACGAAAGTAAGAAACTCTGGATAACAAATGAGATTGTAGGATTAATAGACGAATGGCGGAAATACAAAAACAGGACGGACGAAGAAGGGCAAAAATGATATAAAGCTATAAAGTGGGAAATAATTAGGAAGTGTAGGACATCTAAGGAACAGTGGATTGATAGGATGTGTAAAGAAGTAGAAGGAAAGTTTGAAGCAAGTAAAACCGATGAGGAGTATAATATAATTAAAAGGAATTTTAGAGATGTAGGATACAGTAGTAATAATATAACAAACGATGCAGGGGTCATTTTGATAAGAAACGAAGAAAAGGCAGATAGTTGGAAAGAATATTTAGAGAACCTATACGCAGGCCATGAAGTAGGAGATATATTAGATAAGGAACATAGTGTGGAGGTAGATGAGCTTGGTTATCCCATAATGAGAGAAGAGTTCGATGTAGCATTAATAAACTTAAAGAATAATAAGGCGCCAGGTGTAGATGGGATACAGGGGGAAATTTTAAAACATGCAGGACAAGAGTTTAGAGATAGTATGTTTAACCAAGTTAGTCACATTTACGAGACGGGGAAAGTCCCAGAGGATTATAAACGGAACGTAGTAGTAACATAACCTAAAAAGAGGTGCGAGATATTTAGAACGATTAGCTTAACTTCCCATGCGTCAAAAACCTTAAATAGAATTGTACAGAGGAGGATGGAGAAAAGGGCTGAAGAACTATTAGGGGAAGATCAATTTGGGTTTAGAAGAAATAGTAGAACGCGGGAGGCCATTCTAGCTTTACGGGTAACAATCGTGAAAACGATAGAAAAAGGAAAGAGTGCGTACATAGGATTTGTAGATTTAGAAGAAGCTTTTGACAATGTTAATTGGGACAAGATGTTAAATATACTTAAAAGTGTAGGAATGAGTTACAAAGATAGAAGAGTGATACTTAGTTTGTATAAAGAGCAACAGGCAGTTATAGAGCTAGGGATACAACGTAGAAAACTAAATATTAGGAAGGGAGTTAGACAGGGATGCACATTGTCGCCGCTACTTTTTAATCTATACATCGAAGATGCGATCAACATCATTAAAGACAGTACAACTGTAGGGATAGATATACAGGCGCAAAAAATTAGTATGCTCAGATTAGCAGATGATATAGCAGTATTAGCATCTGGCAAGGAGGACCTAAATAA